TTGTTTCTGGTAAACCTCATTCCAGGAAAGATGAGCTTTTAACAAAAGGCTTTTGACAGCTGCAGGGTATTTCATTTTTTTAATGCCGAATGAAAAATCAATACATTTTTCTAGGTTATACATATTCAGAACAGGCTTGATATTTCCATTATAATGGAAAATGGGTGTCTGCACATCTCGCCTGTCAGAGCTGCACCACCGCATTTTCCAAGCCACTGCTAAATATTTCAAACCTGATTTGATTGTGGTTCATGACAGCTAATGTTTCTCAGCTCTTGAGCCTGCCGGAGGGTGGGGAGGCAAGTGCACGCTCTTTCTCTCCCATCCCTACATTTCTGCCACCCCTGAAATGCCTCTTATCCCTTCGGATAAGAGATCTGGGGTTGTTAAGGAAAATCCAGCTGAGAGAAGGAGAGGTGAGAGGTCTTGGGCTGTTTAAGCTGGCCTGGATCCAGTTGGGATTTGCTGACTTCTCCAACTCTCAAACTTTCTGGGTTTTGAGAGGGGCAGAAATGTGGCAGTGTGGTCCTGTGCGATGGAGTGCGGGGATTCAGGCACATTTTTCAGTGTGTAACTGAGTCAGAAATTCCCTGACATCTGCAGATGTCAGATACTCATGATTTTCCAGACTCTTCTCCCTCTCTTCCCCCCCCCATAGTGAATGTTTTAATTTTAAATTAAAAGGAAATGCCACTGTCTAAAATTATTTATTCATGAAGGAAGAAAAGACTCTTCCTAGGATTTTGCATGGGGCAGATTTTGTACAATGGAAGAGCAGGCTCCTTGGACTCCAGGTGCCCCGCAGTTACACTCGCTTGGTATTGACCTGAACCCCGGCAGTTGGAAAATTCCTTTAAGAAAATTCATTAATAAAGCATCATGGCCTCGTGGATGGCACTCTGGCATGGGGACCCATGGGCAGGTTGTGTTGTTTGTATTTGAATGGGACACGATCCCCTCCATGCAAATCCCACAGCAACAGCTCTTGCACCTGCCCTGGCGAGCTCCCTGCAGGGGATGAAGCCCACTTACCCTTCATGAGCTCATAAACCCTGTGTACTTGGAGTTTCTGGAAACCAAAGACACCAGTCTAGCATCTACATCCTCTGGGCATGGGCTGCAGTAGCATCTCTGGCCTTCCAGACCCCCTTACTAAGGTTCCTAGGTCGGGAGTCAACCCCATCACCTCTTACAAAACATCCTCTATGGCAGATCTCCACATGTGGGGGTGCTGAACCCAGAGGTGGGTTCTTTCACGCTCTCTGAAAGTCCTGGTCAGAGTCCTTGGCCTGCAGAGACTCCCAGTATACTGCTGAAATACTGCAGGTACTTCTCACCCTCTGGATATCAGCCCCGACTGGGACACTTCTTAGGATGTATGGTTTTAAGCTGAGTACCTTTTTAACTACAAAACGACTGGTGGAATTTTTATCAATCTCCTTAAGAAAAATACAGTCAAGCCGTTAGGTGAATGAGTCCTAACAAACAGTGTGTACGGCCTCAAGGAGGTATGGTCAAACAATAACAAAAGGGTCATGGTGGCTTGGAAATAAATTCCCTACATCTTGCTGACCACGGCCTCATTCAGCCTTTGGGAGCTGGTCACACGAGGTAGTTTTCACACTCAGCTGCAGGTCTGTCCTATGGGACTCTTTGGACGTTAAGTAAAAGGCAGTGGTCAGCTCTGCTCGAACACAGCATAGAAACAACATGACACCAGGATTTTGCAGACAATTAAAATGGAATCTCAAAAGCTCCTTGTTGGGTGTGCAGCAGATTGAGGAGAAAAGCAGACCTTTCCATACCAGATGTGATGCTGGCCCTGTCCTCTCAGAAGGATGCCCCAAAGAAATGCAGGAGGATAGATGGTTGGGTGCCATTCACACGTGTGTTTGCTACCCAGACCTGCCATCGCACCTCGGAGCTGCCAGTGTAACTCAGAAGCTGCAGAGCTGTCATCAGAGAGTGTGGGTGCAAATCTTCCGGGAACAGGAGCTCTGCTGCATTTTATTTTCAGTGTTGGAAGATCTCATTGTTAGAAGCTGGGTCAGATCACATGCTTGTGCCCTGCATGCAGTCTGTTGGAGGCTGGTTCTCAGTGGTTCAAAGCCCTCTGCAGTGCATGTAGCCAGCTGAGGAGTGATGTGGCTGAGGACGCTCTCCCGACCATCCCTGGGGTCAGCTTAAACACTGACGGCTGCGAGACAAGTTAGGCTGAGTGTAGTGAGCAGAGTTGCATCCAGCCTTCCAAAAAAGTCTGCTGGAAGAGGATCACAAGGCAGCCAGGAGTTAACGCTTCCCTTTCCTCCAGTCTCCGCGCCAGGTGGCTGCGTCCCTGGGGTCCGTGGGTGCAGGGGGCTCCCAGGGTGTGCCCGGGAGGGGAGCAGGAGGATTGTCCTCAGCAAAGGCTCCGGGAGCAAGGAGCCAAGTAAGGACGGTACCAGGGGCTTTCCCAGCTGATTCAGAGCCTCCTTGGGCAGATGCATCTTGTACTCTGCTCCCTTCCCATCCTGCTTTAAAAAAAACATTCTTCAGAAAAAAATCAGCTCAGACCAGAGGGGGGAGGAGAAGGGTTTGAAGCATGCATATGCTTTTTGCAGCCTGCCTGCCCGACGCAGAGGTGTTTGAGCCAAGGAGGCAGATCTTGTCCTCAGAGAGAAAGAAACCATTTCCAGGGTCGGGGTTCAGTGGATGCTTGGTGCAAGGGTCTGCCGGGGGCTCAGCTGGGGCTGGCGGAGGGATGGGCTGTGCGCGAGGGGCTGCAGGCCCGGCGGGGCAGGAGGATTTGCCGTTTGTAGCCTTGTTTTTTAATCATTTTTGACCGTTATTGGTATTCATAGCTCACATTTTTCCGGTTACTGTCAGCCTGGGCTTTCATCCATTTTAAAGAGCTATTTTTTCCCTTGTTGATGATGATGATGGTATAAAGACAGATGGTGTAACTGCTTATGAATGTCCTATTTTATTCCCCTCGAACCAGACAGTGCACTTGAAGACGTGTATTATTTCCACATGCTCAGGTTAGAGCCCAGACAGCGTCTGAGCCCGGCAGCCGGCTCGTCCTTCCTCTTCCTCCCATGCCGATGCTGACACCTCCGGGGCGCAGCCGGGAGTGCCGGCGCGCCGCGCACCCTTTGTTGTTCGGCCGGGCCGGGACGGAGGGGCTCGGGGCCGCCCCCCTGAGCGGGGCCGGGGGGGG